CCCTGCCGAGGATGGCCCTAGAGGTAGTTAGTTGGAATAGTTTTCATGTCCCTCGACCAGGGTTTTAGGCTCAGCCCCCCTACTACCACCTAATCTATTACTGGAGAAACCTTGGGATCTCATGTTGAAGACCTCTGGGGGATCCTTCTTCTAGGTTGTACTACTTATATTCCCTCTAGTCTTTGGGGATGCCTTAAGTTATCAGAGTGTGGGTAAGGATATTCTAGTCTTACTAGGTATACCTATTTCCAAAGGCATCAGGCAATTCATTGAATCTGCCCTGGGGGAGGTCTCTAGCAATTCAAAGACATAGGTTACCTTTAGTACAATTACAGAGATTACCTAGGAACACAAATACCTAATAGACTATTGGCACCATCATTGAAAGCACTTGGTATCAATGCACACTTAATTACAAACTCTATGTTTGATCGATGTTAAATCAAACCTTGAACTCCTAGTACCTCTGCTGTCTAACTCCAAAGCTTCATCATGGGTCAATATTCCAGGCCACAGGATACTTTTCTCTGCAGCAGCCAAACAATGGGCAAAGCCTTTCCGGTGACCCCTAGGGTTTGTTGCTTTACCGCCCAATTTGCCTTATCTATCCTTTTCTTGATGTACTTCCCATGTAACCCAAGTCTATTCATGATGTGGAGGATGTAATTAATAGTTCTATTGTGTAATGCCTAGGGGTTCAATGTGTCCTCTAATCCCGGTGTATTGACTCTGGATCTGTACTTCTGTGTTTCTATGCCTAGCTTCGTGTAGCTCAGTCGGCCTGGGGGGTACCACATAGATCACATGAAGGCAAATAGAATGAAAAAGACACCAATTCCCCCTAGGTCCTTAGCCCTCGCGGTGGAAGCACCGCTCAGGTATACAGGGGAATTCAATTCACACTGGAAGGGTAGAACACATTTCAATTTCAGCGGCAACCCAGGGCAGGAGGGAGCAAAGACAAGTACAATGAAGATATTAAGATAAATTCCAATTCGGCCCTACCAGGATAGGCCCTCATTATGTCCTTACCTTCCTTGTCATTTATTAGTTATTGTATGTATAGGCTTGTACCAGGTATCTACTGTACTTTGTATCAAATTTCATTGCATATATCCCATACATAGGGATCGGGGATTCATTGTCTTACCTGGAATTCATCTACTAAGAAATCCTTACCTGGGCCAGAGGTTTCTTGTGTTGTGTCGTGCCTTAGGTTGGAACCAGCCCTTCTATCTAACACCAGTACTGGGTCTCAATTGGCAATTACTGGTAATGGATATGTGATATCTCCGATTATAAGCCCTACATCAGCTGGTCTCAATCTATTTGAGTTTCAATTATTGTAGCTGATAAATTATTGAATTGGTGATTTACTTTGGCGGACCAATGAGATGGCAAATCTTCTATGGTATAGATAATATCCATTAATTGATTAAGAATTTGTGTGGCCAGAGCCGATGCCTTGTGTTGATTCACTTTCTCGTTTGGCTCTGTTGGAGTGGATGCTGTGTAGTATAGGTACGTAAGCTGGAGTATTGGTAAAGCATTTACAGGTAAAGTAAGCCAGTGTATTTCAAGATAATAGACCTGCCCTACATATCAAGCCTTAAGACATAAGCACCCTATCCATCAGAAGAATACCATTACAAATACTCATAATATACCAACTAGCGATACTTCTATCTGACAAACCGGTGGGAAATAACATAGTCTAGATCTAATGTTTCTGTAAAGAAGGCCCAGACAATAAGTAGTAAAATAACAAAGGTAAACCAATGACCAAGTAAAGGCCACGCCTGCAATAGAACCTACAACAACCAGTGGGCACTTCCTAAATCTCCATCCAGCCTAGGGCCAATCCAATTCCCTGGGGGCTTCGTGTATCTTACACCCGATGTTGGACTAATTAGTCCTAGACCTCTCTTGGTTGTACATGTGCAGTGGAGATAGTATTATGATCTATTGATAGCTTCAGATGGCTGTGGAGTCGGATGAGTATTTAAGTAGTAAGAATTAGTCTACCCTGGTACCATTGTACCTGTAGATGTATTGGTGTCTTGGGTTAGGAAATTTGGATGTTCGCCAATACGATGAGAGGTAGCTTGCCTGTACTGGATTTATTAAATAAAGTAATTGTTTTCCTGCCCAAGGGTTATTTATATTGTATTAGGTATGAGTCGGCAATGGGTTATACATCTATTTATAAAACTCTTTGCTTGTCTTTGAGTTATAGCGGTACATTGGTATTGAGTTGTGGAATCTGTAATTGCCAGGCGGGAGCCCTGCATTTGCCTGTATAAACCATTTGTGACTACAATTAGTAGTTATCTACTTCTTGGTACCTATTTTCTATCTGGTGCCAATATTCATCTATCTGTAAGTTCATGTTTGTGTGGCTTCAATTGAGATTTAGAAAGAGTCTGGATTCATCTGTACTATTCTTATTATTCTCTTTCTCTTTTTTTCATCCAAAAAATTCTCTTTTTTATACAAAGACATTTTATACAAATACAATACATAGGTCGTCGATTCGGCAGTGGAGGGGGGAAGATACCCATCTTTCCAGTTAATGGTTCAAAGAATTTTATCCATATGAGTGTTCTACATCGAAGAAATTCCCAATTCTTCCTTTTTTCTCATTTTTCTTTTTGGTACTAACGTAGCGGTAGAAAGAGTACCATGCTATGCTGTGCCTGGACTTCAAACAATTTCTCTTTCACGACCTCAACATTATTGGTTGATAGAGAATAGAATCAAAGTTCATTTACCAATTAGTCACGAAATGCTATGGTTCTTACATATGATTTCTGAATGAAATCCAATTCAGAAGTAATTCGTCGAGATTGTGCACCTTTTGTTCCTAGTTCTGCTATAAAAAAGAAGACATAAATAGAAAGAAAGTGCAGCCGGTGAAATCCAACCTATTCTTGAAATAAACAACTCGCACACACTCCCTTTCCAAAAAAAATCAATACACCCAGCACTACGCTTAGATTTATTGGATTTGTTGCTAAAATATCGGTATGAAACTCGAAACTCCCAGCGGATGACCAGTGCCCCGGAACAAAAGAATCGGTTAGATTTTTCATATGCTCTCCCCTTATAGATAGGACTAACAAAGAACAGAGTTCTTTTTGTATAACTCCGCTTATTATTCTTAATGGAATTTGAGAATTCTCAAATTTCTTAGTTATGGTTATGTTTTTCTTCTTCTTTTTTTACATTTTTCTTCTACGATGAAATGAAACATTAAACAAAAGGATTTGCAAATAAAAGAGCTAATGCCACGACCAGTCCATAAATTGTTAAAGCTTCCATAAAAGCCAGACTAAGCAATAAAGTACCTCGTATTTTACCCTCTGCTTCTGGTTGTCTCGCAATACCTTCTACGGCTTGGCCCGCAGCAGTACCTTGACCAACCCCAGGTCCGATAGAAGCAAGCCCTACAGCCAATCCAGCAGCATAATGGAAGCAGCAGAAAGAAGTGGATTCATGGTAAGTTCCTCGCACCAAAAAAAGAAATGGTTAATGATACAACCAACCAATGAATTAGTACTTAATCTACTTCTTTTTCTACTTCTACTTTTACTATTTACTTTACTACACTGATTTTTTCTTCTATGAAATCGTATTCTGGAACCATTCTTCGAAACATACACAAGGATTTATACTCATAGGCATTACATAGAAATATATGTAGTAGGATCCCCAACCCTTTTTTCTCTTCCAAATTCTGTAATATCATCTATATTTCTTCATATATACATACATGTAGCTATTTGCATTTTCTTATCCAACCCAGTAGTGGATTATATGGAACCCCCGCATTGCTTGAATTGGGATAAGCTTCAAAAAAGACTCTTTCGAAAGTTAGTCAATGATGAACCTCCATGGATTCACCTATATAAGCCGCAGCCAAAGTTGCAAAAAGAAGAGCTTGAATACCACTTGTAAATAATCCAAGAAACATGACAGGTATAGGAACTACTGAAGGCACTAAAGAAAAAAGAACAACAACCACTAATTCATCAGCCAATATATTCCGAAAAGTCGAAAACTAAGAGATAAAGGTTTTGTGAAATCTTCTAGAATATGAATTGGTAAAATTGGTTGAATGTATTTCCCGAAATATCCCAATCCTTTTTTGCTAAGACCCGCATAGAAATATGCCACTGACGTGGGTAAAGCTAAAGCAACAGTAGTCTTTATATCATTCGTGGGCGCAGCTAACTCCCCCTCCCCATGAGGTAACTTTCTGATTTTCCAAGGTAAAAGAGCACCTGACCAGTTAGAAACAAAAAGAAATAGGAACATCGTTCCTATAAATGGAACGACCATACTACTCTCCAATCTGAGTTTTGCTCAAGTCTTGAAGAAATTCAGACATATTCGAAGAAATTCTGACCGTCGGTCGGAATGGTTTGTGGATTCCGAACAGCTATGATGACTTAACCTAATAAGATAGCAATTACAACCAAGAAGTGATAAGTACTTGGGCATGAATTTGTAAACCTCTATTTGCCAATAGAAATGTTGGCCTACTTCTACACCTGATATATCATATAACCCTTTGAGTGTTTTAATGGAACATGGTATAACATTCATATTGTCCTCTAACATAAATTGAACTTCAAAAAAGTAATATATTTGATCCCACCTAGATATGTTTGCAAGGTAGATAACTTTCTCTTCAACATTGCTGCATCTCCTTTGGGGAGACGATTGAGTTTCCCCATCTTTTGTTCTGCTCTTAAGTCCCTGAACTTATGAAGTCTTGTTTCTGTAGTAGACCAATTCGTTAACATACCACCAAGCCATTTTTTATTAACATAATGACATCGAGCCCTTATTGCTGCTGATGCTACTAAATCCGCTGCTTGGTGCCAACGATTAAGAATTTGTTTCCCCTACTTGCTGCATCAAAAACGAAATCGCAGGCTTCTGATAAAAAACCACTTTTTTACTTATACGACACGATTCCAGATTTCATTTCAATTTCAATCAATGAGCATCTTGAATTTCATAGAAATTGGGCGTAATATAATCTTTACGTAAGGGCCAGCCTATCCAACTTTCAGGCATCAAGATACGTTTAAGGCGAGGATGATTCTCATAAGAAATTCCCAACATATCATAAGATTCCCGTTCCTGAAAATCAGCACTTCTCCAAATCCAGAAAACTGACGGGGTTTGAGGATTACTCCTGGGAGCAAATACTTTTATGCATACCTCTTCTGGTTTATCTATACCATACGTATTTTGGTGATACACACTAGCTAAAAATCCGCCTGGTGCTACATCATAGGCACACTGGGAGCGTAAATAATTGTAACCATATACATATGAAATGACAGCAATGGAATCCCAATCCTCGGTTTTTATTTGTAAAGTCTCTATTCCTCGGCAATCAAAGCCTAAAGATCTATGAATTAGCTCATGCTTGACTAGCCAATCAGATAAATGAACCTGCATCTTCTTCATCTCTCCCACATTTTTCTTTGTATGAATATTTCACATTGACAATGAAATTGTTAATGATTGACCCGCTGTTTCTTATTCTGCACAAAGGAACCCTGCCTGATTCACTAATTCGTAGGAACTTTTGGATTTGAAAGATTTTTCGGGATATCTTCTTACGAAGTTTCGTTATAGCATCTATAATTGCCTCTGGGCTTAGGCGGACAGCCTGGCAAATAGACATCCACAGGAATGAACTTATCGACTCCGCGAACAGTACTATAAGAATCAGTACTGAACATCCCTCCTGTAATAGTACAGGCTCCCATAGCAATGACATATTTTGGTTCAGGCATTTGCTCATATAATCTTACTAAAGAGGGAGCCATTTTCATTGTTACTGTTCCGGCTGTGAAAATGAGGTCTGCTTGCCTTGGGCTCGATCTTGGCACCAACCCATAACGATCAAAGTCGAATCGCGAGCCTATTAATGAAGCAAATTCAATGAAACAACAACTGGTACCATAGAGAAGCGGCCATAAACTGGAAAGTCTTGACCAATTCGAGAGATCATTCGATGTAGTTGAAATAATTGAATTGGGGGTTTTTTGGTTAAGTAATGGAAACTCAACCAAATTCATAACTGTTTCAATATCATCCTTTTCTTCCCTTTTCTTTTGATTGTCTAAATATTCAGCTAAGACCATTCCAACGCTCCTTTTCGCCATGCATAAACTGAACCGGATAAGCACGAAAATGAAAGCTTCTATAAATACAGATACACCCAATACATCAAAGCTCATTGCCCATGGATAAAGAAAGACTGTTTCAACATCAAAAACAACAAAAACTAGAGCAAACATTTAATAGCGAATTCGGAATTGTACCCAAGCATCCCCCATGGGTTATATACCTGATTCATAACTAGAAAGCTTTTCTGGACCTTCCCTAATCGGGGCTAAAATTCCAGAAATGACAAATGCCAAGATAGGAATAACGCTTGAGATTATTAGGAATGCCCAGAAAATATCATATTCGTGAAGCAGAAACATAAAAGTACTCCTATGAATGTGGATATGAATGTGGAATAGTCTGAATTATTCCATTTGAATTAGAATTTTCTAGAACTTCTGAAATGAAACAAGAAAAGAATTTTGATCAAATAAAGCCGTATAGTTGAGAGTTTGTTTGCTGTAGGACATACCTTGTTTCAAGATTCATCTAATGTCATCCCACTTCTATTTTTTCTCTTTCATATTTCTCTTCTATCTTCTAAATAGAAAGTGAAAGTAAAGAATCTCTTAGGTTTGTTGTTCCGCCAAAAAATGATTAGTCAGAGGACTTCTACAAAGACTGAAGATCAAGAAAAGAATAGGTCCTAGATCCATGCGACTTAGGATTGGGTTGGGTCAGGTTGAAGTCTTGAGACAGGATTATTTCATTCTTTTCATTTCTTTCAGAAATTGACCGGGATTGGCAAAGCAAAAAAAAGTGTGAACTCTTTGATCATGGACAGGAAAAATCTCATATGTAATTCATTCATGAAAGTGGATGAAGAGAGATGGGTATTTGATCCGAGATTTGACAAATACCAATTGGGTCCGTTGGAATGAATTATTGTGTTTCTTTTCTTGTTCCTACTACTACTTACTACTCAAATTTCTCTACTAAACAAAAATGGAATGTATTAGGGCTATACGGA